GGGACCACGTCGTCACGCAATGAAACCTAAAAGACTAATAGAAGAGTGTTAAGTTAAAAAAAAAAAAAAGAAATATAATGCAGCAAAGTTCTGTGCAGCTGGTGTTGTAAAAAGGCAGCAAGATTGTGTTAAACAGATGTTTTACTTTTGCTGTTGCTATGAGTAGGTGCTGTTAAGGTTGCCAGACCTTGTTTCAGTAACGGTTCTAAGAAAAAAAGAGAGAAAAAAAAGTTGGATCACGGCGGAGAGATTGATCCACCAGCTGGGCACGAGGAGCAGGTGTCAGCCGGACCACCGGCGGAGTTGATGTCGGTCGGTCCTCCGACGGGGCATGAGGAGTAGGGGTCGGCCGGACCACCAATGGAGTGGGTGTCGGTCGGTCCTCCGACCGGGCAGGTTGGTCAGCGGCCACCCCAGAGGACTCAGGTGCTAAGGTCCCTTGGGGGTTCGCTAACTGTAGTGTAATTGGGCTGGGTCGAGGAGACCTTAGACCAAGGGCAGGTGGCGGGGGTTGGTGCTGGTGGGGACCGTGATGGCCACGTCTCCTCCGATGGCCACCACGGAACCCAGAGAAGATGGCCAGGCGAGTCCAGTCAAACAGATGGTGGTGGTCACTGTCGTTTGCCAGCCAGGAAGCAGATTGACCAGAGGGTGAGTCTCTCTGCCCAGGGAGTCAAGTGTGGGGTCAGGCGGGCAGGGTGAAGGACAGGCAGGCGGGGCGCTAGCCTTGACTTGCTGCTCGGACCCCCATGCCCTTGTTCCCCCAGCATCCACCTCTCCCTCACCTCCCTTTTTCCCCTCAATAAAACCTGTTTCACCGGAACATTGCTTTTGGTTCCTCTCTGTCCAACACACACTCAACATTTATAGTCTGTAATGTCCTAGACAACATATCAGCACCAGATGCAGACCAAAGAATGTGCTGAACTTGTCCAGCACTGCCAAAATTCCCCAAGCTTTCCTACCAGGATTGTTGTATGATTCTTCATTTATTTCAGTCATCAGAGTGGAAAGTACAGCGTAGTTGTCAAGGACAGATTTCACTGTACCTGTGCGTACCATCCATTCCGTTGGGCAAAGAGTGCTCAGGTTAATATTGCCATGGACTATTTCATTTTTTAAGACTTCATGCACAAAGTCCAGTGCATCTCTGATGACTTTACATTTTTTCCCAGTATCTTGTAAACATAAATTAAGACAATGCACAAAGCAATACACATAAATGGCTGCCAGATTGTCCCATTTAAAGAGTCCATTCAAATGTCCAGAACTACTTGCAGCCCCATCATATGCCTGTCCACGGCATATACTGGGCAAAATGTTGCAGCGGACCAGAATGTTGTTTAGTTCAGTGAGAATGGTGGAGGCGTGAGGTAAGTCAAATAGGCCAGTAAAGTCCTCGTGAGAGACTGAGAGACTGTCGTCAACCCAGCGGAACAGAACCACCAACTTCTCTTTGTTTGAAATGTCTCTTGTTTCGTCTGCTAATATTGCATAAAACTCCCCACGAATAGGTGACAGTACTGAACGAGAAACTGAATGAATCAGTTCATTGATTATGTCATGGCTTATATAGTTACTGTCCACTAACCACTGGTAAACTTCAGGACAATCCTGTGCCCGTAATTCCAACAACTTATAAAGATAGTGGTTTTTTGGATCATTACCATCTGATGGTATGCCCTGACCCATGAGATTAACGATGGACATTATCTCCTTAACTAGTATGTCTCATCTGGGCTGTTGTTTAACTTTTAGCTGGGTGTCAAGCTGGGACACAATAGACTGCTCCACGGCCTCTCTATGATATTTGCTACTTTCATGTTTCCGAAAAGAGCACACAGTATTTTTCCAGTTTTGGAATCCAAGCACAGAGAAAACATGTTCATTAGTTTTGCTTAACCCCAAACCCAGTCCTTTAATAGTCCAAAGGCAACACTGAGCGCAGAACATTTTTGCTCGCATTTGACACGTTAGTCACTGGAAGTCTTTAAACCGCTGTGGTTGAACAGACCGGCTTGTCTGTGTTACACCTTGTACAGGTCTTGTTCCCGAGAGAATTGCTGGGTCGTCTGGTTGGTGAGACTTTGTCAGATCCCTGCAAAAGTCACTGGAGCAGTGGACTTCTGCCAGGCTTGTAGAAGGAGAAGACGTGGAAGCTGGGGGCTCTGGAGCGATAGAGGAGTCTATAGCCAGGGCAGAGGGCGACAAATGGTTTCCTGGAGGAGCAGCAATGACTGCGACAGAACAGACAGAGTGACCAACGTAGCTGGAGCCGAGGCAGATGAACACGGACTGTAGACTCAGTTGCTGGCTGGATGAGACCCACCAGATATAGTGTGGCACGTTGGGACAGCCGAGGCAGCAGCGACACATCCAGGGCTGTCGCTGTCTGGTACAGCGGCAGACCAGCTAGGTGGAGCAGCAGACCTTTCATTTCAAGCTTCCCCAGGGAGTTCACGGTCAGTGTCGGGTGAAGTGACAGCAGCTGCAATTCCCTTAACTTTCGCTGGCATTGTGCCCAAAAAATGTGTTATTTTACAGCGTTTCATTGTCGGTAAAACTTTAACGCTAACGAAGTAGCAGTCATAAGAAGTGCCAGGTGGCTAGGATTTTTCAGTTTTGTTTACATCACATGACACAATCTGCCAATACATTTTTGGATAGAATAATTTATTGCTCTCTCATTGGAGAATGATGCTGCTGCTGCCATAGACTACTGTGCATTTCATCTATCGAAGAGTTCAGTTTTATTTATATATATTTTAAATTTTATTTAAATTATCCATGGTCATTGGCACTGCCTCGCTGGCTTCTGTTACACCTGGTTCTTGTCAGAAAACGTGCCACAGTATTCTGGTTCAGCTGAAGAGACTTACTCTAGCAAGCTGATAATAAACAAATTGCATTCATCAACATACAGCTGTTGTTTTTTAAAGCTCCACAGAGCTGCAGAGTTGGTGATAACTGGGATCAGAACATAGACTGTATATAAATGTGTGTATGTAATGTTTAAACAGTCAGGGGTTCAGAACAACCAGAGACAGTTTCACTTCACACCAAGTCATTTCATCCAATGGCTGCTCAGGTTTTTCTGCTACTAACTTAACTAAGTATAGTTAACTGACAGAACAAACTTGCTTTCTGCTTGAAACTTTTTATTCAGTTCACAATCATCACATGCTACAAAAACATAGTGTCGTGTCAGAAGGAATGAGTTCGCTCTGTTTGAAGAGGAAAAGGAACTACTTCATAGGTTGAATGAAGGTTAAACACTGATAAGATCACAGTGTCTACCAGTCATTAAAATGAAATGAACATTCAGCCATGTTGCTGTTGGCATGTTTGATTGGTTCGTCTCTCCCATCTTTCTGTTAAGCATCGTTTCTTCTTCTGGTGCAAAGTGCACATGATGCCAACAAATTTCCCCGACACATGCTTTGTTGGAATAAATGAAACTAAATACACACAGCAGTGTATTTAGTGAGGTAGGAGCAGCAGGATCCCTCCTTTCATCAATATTTGATGAAATATCTGATCAAAGTGTATCATCAGTAGAAGTTGGATCCTCTGCCGGCTGAATTTACCTCCCTGTGAGATTATATACTTAGTACACTCAACGCCTCTCTATGAGTGTTGTGAACATTACATAAATTACACGTGGCACTCGTGAGTAATGCTACATGGTGGCTCCGCTATGGCACTGCAACGCCAATAGAAGGATTAGAGTGTCCATGAGGGCCCATGAAGAGTCTTTGTTTAGAATAATATAAGTCTGTTAAACTCTCTGAATTTTCTTTGGCAGTCAATGCAGCCGGCTCAGACACTTTTAATGGCTGAAATAAAGAAAACACGGTCTGACATAAAGCGGATGTCAAAAAAAAGGGAGAAGAGTTTTTCTTGTGAGGTGGAAGTTTGATGCAGCTTGTTCACAAACAAAAGAAAAATCTGAGAGTTTAATAGAATGATATTGTTCTAAACAAAGGCTTTAGGTAGAAAAGTAAACACTACATATTGTTGATCACATCAGACACACTCCTGTCAGCTCCCACTGCCAACAGCCGGCTGCCAGAAAGCCCAGAGTTGTTATAGCCTTCTTGTATCTGTACCGGTTGGCACACTTCCATCAGGTTGGTCTGTCTAATGCTGAAGTTTAGCACACAGATCCAAGAGCAAGAGAGTCTCTAGGGAATCTAAATCCAAGTATTAGCCTGTCATCATCATGAGCCAGGAAATCATAATGGAGACTCTCTAATCCTCCCATTGGTGTTGTCCTCTGCAGTGCCATAGCTCAGCCTTGCAGCATTACGCACCAGTGTCACACCGTATTTATATTGTAATGCTTGTTTTATGTAACGGTCAGGGGTTCAGAACAACCAGAGACACTGTCACTTCACACCGAGCCATTTCATCCAATGTATATTTAAAAGATGGAACAAATTTGTTTTCTGCTTTAAATATTTTCATTTATTTACAATCATCACGTCCTACAAAAACGGTTTGTTTGTTTGGAGATCAACAGGAACTACTTCAGGGTTTGACTGAAGGTTAAACACTGCTAAGATCACAGTGTGAACATTCAGCTGTGCTGCTGTTTTGCATGTTTAATTGTTTTGCCTCTCCTATCTTCCTGTTAAACATCGTTTCTTTTTAAGGTGTAAAGTGCAGCTCTGATGGTGCCGACAGTTTCCCCACCCATGCTTTGTTGTGATAACAGAAACTAATTGCTGTGCACACTTAAGCAGTGTGTATTTAGTAATGCGGGAGCAGCAAGATCCCTCTCACACATCCTTTTACATCAGTATCTGATGTTCTGTCCTCTGATCAAATCAATCATCAGTGTCTACTGTCTGCAGAGTGAGTAGTTGTTGAAGTAGGATTCAGAATTTACTGTCCTGGTGGTAAAAGGAACATAAATAGAAGTATAAATATATAAAAAGTAAGCAGATCAAATAATACAATAATACTAATACTATAATACAATGACAGCTGCACCTTTAAAGCAGAGTTTACTCACTGTGAGTTAAAACAACACTCACATGTCCACATGTACATATAAAGTTTTGAGGTACGTGTACTTCAGTGTTTCCATGTCTTACTCTGTTGCAGTACTTCTCAGGGGGAACTATTGTACTTCAAATATAATAAATTTGGTTATTTTAAGTATACTTGTTGAGACGAATGTCAAATATTAAGTTGATTTAGGTTTAATTTTTTTGTAGCTTAATTATTAAATTATTTCCTCGAATACCAATTGATTGATTGGGAGATCACCTGGAGGGGCAGTCCTGAGCTGAGAAGTTTGTGTGAGGTGAAGGTTCAAGGAGGTGTTTCCGCTGCAGCCAGGTGGGAAAAGACGCCAGTTTAATGAGAATTAGGGCCGGGAAATGTGCTGGAGTTATACAAAGAAGGAGAAGGAAATGAAGATTAACAGCGGAGGGTGCATCAGGGTGCAGGAGATCTCAGAGACGCTACTGGTATGTGAGTGATCACTTAGTTTAAGTGTATTTGGACTTTTTTAATGATTTGCATGCAGCACGATATAATGGTTTGTTTAAAAAGATCAGTGTGACGCTTTCGGGATCGTGCTGTGCTCTTGTTTATTTTGTCTGCTTTCATTTCACATGGTTGATTAGTTTAAGTGATTGTTTAATGTGCTTATTAGTCGTGAGTCATGATAGCGGAGGAAATTGTTTCTTTACATTATTACGTCATTCAGAGTGGAAATGTAAACATGATTAAAGTAAGTCAGTAGTCGATAAAGTGGAAACGCATGATTAACTTGTTTATTTAAGAGCTGTGTGAATTATTATTATTCGGATTAATCTTTGCTTTATTACTGATCATTTGTTTAATTTGAGTCACAAATGCTGACGGAGTACAATTGGAATATTATTTAAATAAGGGGCCTTCTCGCTGTGAGGTGAGAGTGCTAACCACTGCACCACCGTGCCGCTCTGTTATCAACAGGGTGATGCAGAAAATTAAGTTATTAACATTATCTGAATTCTTCACTGAAACCAGCTGATTTTTACTTTGTTCTGATTCATTTAAAACATCAAATATGTAATAAATCATATTTTATTGCTAATATAATTCAGGCTGCGTTCATAGGACAATTCAGATTAAAGGGGAAAGTATTGTGACACAGTGGGCGAGAGAGAGAGAGGTCCTGAGGTCAGGTGACCATCGCTGGAGGAGGTACTCAGATCCTTCACTCCAGTAAAAGTACTGTAGAAATACACTGTTACAAGAAGGTTTGAAGGTTTTGGAAACATGTAGAGAAAATTAAAAACCGTGGCTGGAGGACGTAGCCGTGTGGATTCGCCTTCTTCTGAAATCTGCTGCTGTCAACAGATGCCAACCAGGAGTGAAGCTCTTTTTTACTAGAGCAAAAATCTGCTGTTTAACACCTCCTGATCTCCAGTATTGATCAACTTATCCCTTCATCCGGCGTTGTGCCGATCTGTGGGTGAACTTTGCAGAACGTTTGAATCATCTACTTGATGAATGGCAGGCGAGCAGAGCAGAGAGAAAATGGTCAACAATAAGCCCCAGTTTAGCTGGAAGGGTACAGTGTAAGTTACAGTGAGAATGATGAATAGAGACTGCAGCTCTGCAGCTTCTCAAGATTAATTCCAGCTGTTATACTGGGTCCAAGCATTCTTGTTGACCCTCAGTGGAACGCTGGATTTCCAGGTAATCCTATTTAGAAATAATTAGGGAATAAATGGGGCAGAGTCAGAGTAAAGCGGGGACTGATTGTGGAGCCCTTTCTAAAATCCTTTCACCAGTTGTGAAATTAATGTATGAAAAAGATGAGGCATCAATGAGACACGTTGATAAGTGGGTGGAGTGGGGTGCAGTTTCCAGAAAAGGGAAGCTTTAGTCTAGAAAAGTGTGCAGCCTTGTCCAGAGAGAGAAAAAGAAAGAACCTGCACTTCAGATTGGCACATGAAGACAAGAATTAAGGGAAAGGAAAACTTAGAATGGAAATTAGACGAGATAAAATTAAGATAAAAAAAGAAATCATCCAGTCCTGGACTCTGCTCCTCCTCCTCCTTGTGCTCTGGTTCCAGATCCAGATCCAGCCCAGGTGCCCAAGCTCCAGACTCGGGAGAGAAGGAGGGTGGTTAAAGATGAGGCCACTGCTGAGGCTGCTGCTTTAGAAACAGAGACTCCTGAAACATGACACTGCAGCAACAGAGAGATGAGGAAGCCAAAGATTAAATCTGCACTCAGAAAGACTGCTCAGGTCCAATAAATGTTGAAAGGAATATTGGTATTCACAACATTGATGAAGGAATGGCTCACATGACAGCTTCACAGACACAGTTGGAGCAGTTTAGACAGTTTGTAAAAGAAAAGACACCGATGGGCAAATCAGCTCAAGGATAACTTCCAAAAAATACATACATTCCAAAATTTATACTTCACACCAGTCCTACAAGAAAGCACAGAGTACAACAATCTCTACTTCGATTCACTTTACTGTAGAGAAACAATCCTGAAGTAAAGATGTCACTGGATAATTGCTGCCTGCAGGATCATGTTTACATGCAAGAACAGACCGAATCATGTAGGACGATCCTGGTCTGCATGACCATTGCCTTATGATCAGTGTTGGGCTAGTAACTTCCAAAATGTAATACATTATAGATTACTAGTTATTGTCATTGATAGTAATTAGTTATATTACAATACTGTCTCTGAATTGTAATGCTTTACACTACTTTTGCGTTACATTCACTGCTGTTAATGGATGTATTATTCTGATAGTAAGATGTGCTGCATAGGTGGGTTCTAGTGATGTGCAGAGATGTATCCGTGGATCATGTAGGTCATATCATAAAAATGAACCTTCTGATTTATACCGGGGGAGAGATGGAAATAGGTGAAAAAGGATTAAATGTCTCCCCATTAAGAAAGACGAGGTACGGCAGCATAACGTCATTGATTCTTTGAATCTCCTGACAGGATCAGTCAGGATGAACTGACAGCAGCCTCTCTGAACAGGAAAGTAATTCATTACAGCACAAACACACAGCCTATAGAAATCTATTTACGCATGATCCATCAGGGGAGCTACTGTCTTGTTAAGAGGAGCCGAGTTCCCCTGTAGTTTGCACCCTGACTACAGTCTCGACCATCAGATTCCCACAACAAGAAATAACGTTACTCTTTTACTCCTGGATTTGATTTTCTGCTGCAGAAATGTTTCTCGGTGTTGGTGAATTATTAAAAAAACACTTGATTTCGGGTTAAAATGCATTGTAACGTGTGTTACTGAGATTGTAATTATATTATATATATTTAAAATAATAATATCACGAATTTTTTTAGTAATGCGTTACATTACTGCGTTACAGCAAAAAGCAATACACTACTGCAATTGCGTTGCTTTAGTAACGTGTTACTCCCAACACTGCTTATGATACAGTGGTCTGAAAAGAGAATTACTCATGGATGAAAGATGAACTTAAAATTACAGGCTACATAACTTTACCTGACAGGCCTTCATCAAGTTTTGCGGGGATACTCTGCCATGTGAACTCCCTCCTGTTGATGCCCTATTTAGTTAAACAGTAATAGTTTCTGGAAACTCACAAACAGCGAGGATCAGTCTCTCTCCAATGTCAATTCAACTTCGGCAGCCAGCGGGTGCGTGCGTGAGGCGAGCACAACCTCGACAGTTTCACGGGAACGCACTCGTTGCTACGCCTTGCGCTCGACCACTTCACCTCACTCTAACAGCGAAACTTGATACTGAACATAGACTGTGTCTGCTGCTCCCTGATAAAAGATACTTGCTGATACCTGTTCAGAAAATCCCAAGTAAACTGGAACTAATGGGAACTTGTTTTAACAAGCTAGATAAAAGGTCATTCCCAAAACAGCTTTGGTTTAATATTTGATTTGATCACATTAATGTTTAAGTTGAGATTTACAAGAAATATTTTATTGCTGCTGTGTAAAGTGAATACTGCTGGGGAAAAAGCACCTTATTTGTTTAAAGTGTTTGCAAAGCACATGTTATTGCACTTATGTGTATATAGCAGTGCATTTAAATTAAAAGTGCACAATACACTACTTTAGAATTCATTATTCAGTTTTGCGCGTATATATATATACATACAATATATACATGCATAGGCGGAAATCCTGGGGGGGTCAGGACCACCCCATCTGAGGGTTGTTCCCCCCCTTAAAATCCATTAAATAATATAATATATATTATTGTGTAAGTAGTAAAACAATACCAACGCAAACTGAGCAATTAAAGTTCCTTTTAAGTTTAGAAACATTTTGAGTCCCCCCCCTCTCTTTGCCACGGTGGTTTGGTCCACTGCCTGCTTTCCCTCTCACAGCAGTCTGGTGGGAGAAAACCAGTTTCGAATCCATCAGTAGTTGTGGAGCTCCAGTAATGTTCAGCAAGCTGGCAGAGCTGTTTTATGCACTTTAAACATTGGAAGAACTGATTCTTTTGTCTTTAATACAGATGATGCTGAGTCATTAATAAATTAATCATGATAACCAATTGTTTTTCCATGAGCCCACTCTGTTATTATAACATTACCGAGCTTGTTTGGTAGCTTGTTTAACAGCTTATTTCACATGTGTCAAACTCAAGGTCCGAATCCTGCCCGCCACCTCATTTTATGTGGCCTGCACGGCATCCCACCACTGGATCGCGGTGTTTCCACATCCGCGTTTAACTAAGGTGGTTTTCCGACAACGGGAGATGAGAAATGTCCAAGAAGAGAAAAATGTATGCAGAAGGAAGGCAATTTCATGAAAGATGGGAGGGTGAATACCTGTTTGCACTTCAAGGAGAAAAACCAGTATGTAATGAAGGAGTACAATAAACATTGGCATTTTGACACCAAACATGGAGCTAAGTATGCAAAATTTAGCCTCCTAGAAAAACAAAAACTTGTCCAAGAATTAAAAGGCAGAGTGGAAATGCAGCAGCATATGTTCACAAAAGCTACAGCCAAAAATGATGCAGCAGTGAAAGCTAGCTTTATTGTGGCTGAAGAAATCGCCCAGGCTTCCAAGTGTTTTTATGAGGGTGCATTTTTGAAGCAGTGCATGCTAAAGGTGTGCGAGCAGGTGTGTCCCGACCAGATGCAGACTTTTAAAAATGTCAGTTTGTCAAGAAACACTATTGCAGACCGAATTAAGGAACTAGCAGGAAATCTGACAACACAGTTGGCCGAAGAGACACTTTTTTGTTCGCTGTTGATGAAAGCACGGACACCACTGATACAGCGCAGCTGTCCATTTTTATAAGAGGGGTCAAGTAGGACTTCTCTGTTACTGAGGAGCTTTTGGATGTAGCTGCCACGCATGGGACTACAACTGGGAGGGACATTTTGATGTGGTGGAGAAGTCCATAAGTAAAAATAAATTACCCTGGGAAAAGTTGGTGGGCTAACTGCCGATGGCACACCTGCAATGTATGCAGAAAAAACATGCTTGGTTGGACTAATGAAGGAGAAAATGCAAAAAGTAACTTCCCCACACCTCTGATAAGGTATCATTGCATTATACATCAAGAAGCTCTGTGTGGAAAGGTTCTGGAACTGGAAGATGTAATTACCACAGTCATGAAAACAGTGAACTTCATTCGGGCCACCGCCAGTTCCAGCTGTTTTTGCTAGCGTTAGCTAACTAACATTAGGAACAATCCGCAGCTGACATTTTTCTGGCTTTATATTAGGTTTTGGAAAGAGAATCATACTTCTCCTGTCAGCCTCTCTGGGTAGCTGCTGTAACTATTACAAGATGCCCTAGGAACAGCGTTTGAACAGATCTTAGAAAAATACAGCAACAAAAAGCTAAAAAACGACTGTTTTTACATTAGAGTCAATGGAGCGCAGCCATGAAAGTGTCGGACCTAAGTTAGAGCAAGTCCTATAATGCGCTGTGATTGGCCAGCTGTGTATTCGGGGCGTGGCTTATTGAAGGGTCAATTGAATGGACCCCAGTTAGAACAACCAACATTTATACTGGTGCTGCATCTTCTGATTAGGAGGGAACCTGCTCAACCTCCTGAGCCACAGTCAAACCTCCATTGTAGAGGCGGCTGGCAGGAACTGTGGTCAGAAGGTCATCAATGCCTGTCAGCAGCAACCTAAGAACCAGTTGGTGGACACTAGGCTCAGGAGGTAGAGCGGGTTGCTCATTAATCGGGAAATCAGCGGTTCAATTCCCCATATGTTTCAGATACCAAAACCCTAAATTGCTCTCTTATGTGATTTTGTGTGAATGTCAATTTCTGTTTCTGCTGAGCAGAATCAGTGTGTGAATGTGTAAATGAGATGTAGTGTAGTGTTTTGAGCGGTAAGAAAACTAGAAAGGCCTCTCCAGGAAAGATTCAGGAGAAACAGTGCAGATTCTGTCCTGGACCAGCTGCGAGCCGTCCAGTCCTTCTATAACCAAAGTGAGAATTGTGTCCATATTCTCGGCACAAAGTCAAAACATGCCAGTGGGTGTTGGATTCTGCTATGGTCTCCAATCCTTTTAGTGATGTTCATGAACAAGATCTGAAGGTGCAGTGAAGGTGAAGATAGTCTCTGGATTGGGAACCTCATAATTGCGTCTACTTTTTGCAGATGATGGGGTTCTGCTGGCGTCATCAGACTGTGACCTTCAGCACACACTGGACGGTATGCAGTGAGTGTGAAGTGGTTGGGATGAGGGTCAGCGCCTCCAAGTCTGAGGCCAGGTTTCTCTGCTGGAAAACGGTGGATTGCTCCTTCTGAGTTTCTGCCCCAAGCGAAGGAGATCAAGTATCTCTTTCCACAGCAGAGTGGATCGTGAGATGGAGAGGCGGATTGGTGCAGCATCAGCAGTAATGCAGGAAATGTACAGGACTGTTGTGATGAAGATGGAGCTGAGCTGGAAGGCAAAACTTTCAATTAGCCAGTCGATCTACGTTCCAGTCCTCACCTATGGTCATGAGCTGTGGGTAGTGACGGAAGGAATGAGATTGTGGATACAAGCAGCCATAATATGTTTCCTCCGCAGGGTGGCTGGGCCCAGCCTTAGAGACAGGGTGAGGAGCTCTGACGTCTGGAGGGAGCTCGGTGTAGAGCTGCTGCCAGTTGACATGACAACGGGATCCTTCTAGGTTTTTCTGGGCACATCCAACTGTGAGGAGACCCCAGGGTAGACCAAGAACTCACTGATGATAAACAATAAGAAAAAAGAATATACTTTGAAAGTAATAACACTGAGTTTGTTCATTTCATATATCTGCCAGTCTAGGCCT